CTCCATCTAAAAAAAAAAAAAAAACCTCATGACTTTTTTCAGAGATGCTGAAATATTTACAACTGAAATGGTATGTTGTCTGGGATTTACTTATGAATAATTTGGGTGTGGATAATTGTTCTATCAGCAAGAATTGATAATTGTTGTAGTTAGGTGATTATTACTTAGGGGCTCATTATATTATTGCTTCTAATCAGTATATGTTTGATGGTATCCACAATAAATAGTTTTAAAGAGAAAAGAGGAAGGGGAAATTCTGGAGGGTACAGGTACAAACAACATTGAAAACAAGGGCTAACATTTACCTAGCGCTTACTCTGTCCTTGGTGCTGGGCCATACCGAAGTAGCTTGTTGACATTTCACAACCTGTATGAGATAGGTGCTGTTGATACACCAGTTGAAAAACCCAAGGCCGAGAGGTGTTAAATAGCTTGTCTAAGGTAGTCCAGTAATTGGCAGGATTGAGATTCAAACCCAGGTTTGCACAGCTCCAAAATCCACCACACTTTGGTGGTGGAGAGGTGGCTTGCGTGAGCGATAGAAATGTGTATAAATGGCCAGGCATGGTGGTTCATGCCTGTAATCCCAGTACTTTGGGCGCTGAGGTGGGTGGATCACTTGAGGTCAGGAGTTCGAGACCAGCCTAACCAATATGGCAAAACCCCATCTTGACTAAAAATACAAAAATTAGCCAGGCATGGTGGCACATGCCTGAAATTCCAACTACTTGGGAAGCAGAGGCACAGGAATGACGAACTGGTGAGGTGGAGGTTGCAGTGAGCGGAGATCACACCACTGCACTCCAGCCTGGGCGACAAGGCTAGACTTTGTTTCAAAACAAACAAACAAAAGAAGTGTGTGTGAATGAGCAAGGGATCCCTGAATGCCACACTAAAGATCGACGGTGTTCTACAAGGTGGGGCAGGGCAGGGCCTATCTTGAGCAGTGTTATGGGAAGAATGTGCAGAAAGAATGGCCCAACATGTTTATGGGGGTGATAGAGGGTCCGCTGGGAAGAAGGGAAGAACCCTGTGCCCCCAGAAGCTCTACAGGGAAGCAGACAGCAGCAGGATTGAGGAAAGTCAAGAAGAGAAACAACCAACCGAATGTCTGTTGATGATCAATTATGTTCACCTTAGATTTAGGCAAAAAAAGACCTTCGACAAGTCCCAGTCAGTCCACAAAACTCATACTAAGCACCAACTGTGTGCTAGGCCCTGTCCCAGGCAGCCTCACTCTATTTCTCCTCTTTTTCTCACAGTGAGGTCAATCAGGTTGCTGGCAGACCCCTACAACCCAGCATCCTTCACTCACATCAGTAAGGTAAACAACTTTTCTTTCTTTTTTTTTTTTTTTCAGATGCAGTCTTGCTCTGTCGTCCAGGCTGGAGTGCAGTGGCACCATCTGCAACCTCCGCCTCCTGGGTTCAAGCATTCTCCTGCCTCAGCCTCCCAAGTAGCTGGGACTACAGGCACACACCACCAAGCACAGCTAATTTTTGTATTTTTAGTAGAGATGGAGTTTCACCATGTTGGCCAGGATAGTCTTGAACTCCTGACCTCATGATCTGCCCGCCTCGCCTCCCAAAGTGCTGATATTACAGGCATGAGCCATTGCACCTGGCCCAGTAAACAACTTTTCTTAAAGATTTACATTAACATCATAACACCTACAATTATTGTACTGCAGATTTACATTAAAATAACACCTACAATTATTGTATTTTAACAGTAAGTTTTCTATTTTTTAAGTTTTCTATTTTAAAGGTATTTCGTTTCACTTTACTGGTCTAGTTTGCAAGGTAAACAATAAATGACTTTTTTCTCTGGGCTCGCTTTTAACCTCAAGAAGTTTCTGATGAGAAAATGTTCTTTAGTGGGTGAATTATCTGGCCATCCTCCCCCTTCAGCTACCAATCACGAGGCTATCGGCACCTCTGCTCAAGAGTACCACTTGGGAATCAGGGATGAAAACTCACATCCCAGCCACCCTGCCCTTCCCTACCACCTGGAGCGGGAGTGGTTGGCAAAGACTGGAATTAGGGACATCTCTAACTCAGTACATCTGTTGGAGCTGTGCCTCAGGAAGTCAACTCCACTCTGGAGCTGTGTAAAGAAAGGGGAACTTGGCTTCTCAACACTCTTGTGTTTGGAAACCGTGTCCCAACAGGCATCCCCCTCGCTAAGGGGATGGGATTAACTGGCCAAATACTTGAATATATGAACTATCCAGGCTTGCAGGGCCACCCTTGTTCTCCCAAACACTGCCTTCAGGAGACACTGCCCAGCCAGCGTCTGGGCAGAGTTGGGAGAAAACCCTCACTAAACTGGCTCAGCAATTCCCCAGGAAGGCTCATCCCGCAGGCCAACGCGAAGACACAATGATCCCAAAAACCTTGGTGTCTTGATGGGGGGAGGAAGAGATGGGGGACTTTTCCGCTTACCTTCCCTAAGCGTTGCCATGGGACAGCTCTCGGGCTACATTAAGGTAAAGAGCCTTGTATGGCCACACCTCGCACCGATCAGCCACCCCCGAAAGACCCCCTCCTTCCAAACTGCAGGGCAAGCATAGCGAAAGAAAAGGCAGCCCAAGCAGAGAACAACTGCGGTTCTTAAAACCTTGTTTGCGTTTGGGCCCGCGCGGAGCCGCAGGTAGAGATAGATCCCGCTCCCGCGCGTCCGCCTTCAGCCCTGGGATGCCCAGAGAGGTCTCTCAGGCCCTTCAAGACCCCCGCTCCCGGCTTCACGGCCCACACCTCTGAACCCTCAGGCCCCAGCCGGCCCTTATCCCCTCCTTTCGCGCCCCCGGCTCACCTTCGAGCGTCTCGCACTGCACCAGGTTGAGATAGTCGGCCTGGCTGAGCACCCCAGCCTTCAGGCCGCGAACCAGTCCTTCCAAGTAGCCATTGTCCACGTTGAAGTAAAGCTCGGGGAAGAACGACATGGCTGCTGCGGGAGCGGCGGCACTGGAGATCTCCGAACGACCAGTGCAAATCACAATCCGCAGATCAGCTGACGCTGCGCCCTCCACAGACTGTCAAGAGCGTCAGGTGACGCGCAAGCGCCTCACGTGACCACACCGGGGAGGGGCTCTGAGCAGCCCGTGGCTTCCGGATGGCTGCGCGGAAGCGCTGCGCTGGCGTGGGCTGGGGACTGCCCTACGGCGCCTGCGCGCTAAGAGGAGAACGTTTGAGGCTGGCCGCATGGTGGCGACAGTGGCCGCCCGGATTTGACTGGGCCCTCTCTCTCTGGCTTTCCCGGATTTGCTGCACCTGGCGCTGCAGGAGCGGGCTGGGTAAAGAAGTGAGTGAGCCCTTCTCGGCCGGGCGTGGTGGCTCACGCCTGTAATCCAAGCAATTTGGAGGCCAAGACGGGCGAATCACCTGAGGCCGGGAGTTTAAGACCCGCCTGACCAACATGGTGAAACCCCCCCCGTCTTAAAAAAAAAAAAAAATGAGTGAGCCCTTCTCAAGCTTGGAAAGCTTCCAGACTGCTGGGCCAGCCACCTCCGCAGAGGGAAACTAAGGTCTGATTGAGGCGGGAGAATAGGATCTCGAGGGGGGGGAACTTGAGGCCAAAACGTGCTGAATTCTGAAGCTGAATCAAAGGGAAAACATCAAGGTCTGGGGGCAGGGATTCTGACGCCAATTTGTGCTGACTTCATAAAACAAAAAACACCAAGGTCTGGGGACAGGGAACCCGAGGCCAATTAAGGTGAACTCGCTAAAGCTAAACCAAAAAGAAAAACCCCATGTCCCCATGTCCGGAGAACAGAGGATCAAAGGCCACTGTCTCTACAACCCTCCCCCTTCCACCACGTCTTAGATGGAAAGGAGAGTGCCTTGGATTGGCCGGGGTTCAAGCACGGGCCATCCCTTCATCTGCATAGGGTGCTAATTCACCTCAGCACCACTTATGCCTAGTGTTCCATTATTGGAACATCCTAAGCATGTGGGAGTTATTTATGTCCTACTGCTCAAGGTCATCGCCAAGGTCTGATTGCAAAAATAAAAATTTGCAACCTCAGGTGTAAATGAGTTAATTAGCCACGGACCAAACCCTTCATCCAGATCAGGGGTAGCCAACAGGGGGCCGCAAAAGGAGTACTTAAAACCCAGAAAATTGGCCGGGCTTGGTGGTTCATGTCACACCCTAATCGCAGCACTTTAGGAGGCCGAGGCGGGCAGATAACGAGGTCAGAAGATTGAGACCATCCTTGCTAACACGGTGAAACCGCTTCTCTACTAAAAATACAAAAAGCTGGGCTTGGTAGCACTCGCCTGTAGTCCCAGCTACTCAGGAGGCTGAGGCAAGAGAATCACTTCAACCCAGGAGGCAGAGGTTGCAGTGAGCCAAGATTGAGCCACTGCACTCTAGCCTGGGTGAGAACAGAGTGAAACTCGGTGAAAGAAAGAAGGGAGGGAGGGAGGGAAGGAAGGAAAGAAAGGAAGAAAAAAACAGAAAACGTTGTAATCAGGCCCCTTGAGCCTCTTGGTCAAGCCCACTCCCACCCTGCGAAGTGCTTTTTCGCTTTAACAGATCCCTGCTATCTGCTTCCTTCCTGTGTGTCATTTCTTTGTTACTTTTTGGGTTTTGTTCAATTCTTTGTTCAAAACGCTAGGGACCTGAACAACTCACAGTCCCGGCCTTCCCTCTGGTAGCAAGATGAGGGTCAGACTTTTCGTGGAAGTAGCAGCAAGCAGCCCTGGAGCCTAAGAATTATTCACTAGCCCAGAGTGGTAGCCCCTGTGCCACCCTGCGTCCTGCTTTCCCTGCATTTGCTATACAAGATTCTCAAACGCTGGAGTGCAGCTCTTCTCTACTTTTCCCAGGGACACCAGGATCCCTAAAAGCGCCCATGTATGTGCCTCCTATGATGGGGTAGCCCAGGCACTGGGATAAGAGTATGTGTGGTTTCTTGGCTTGGTGACACTCCCACCCCCGCCATGAACCGTCCCTCCTTTGACCGCCACGTTTGAAATAATCACAGCCTTGGGGTAGGTCCCATCCTTTATTCGCATTTCCTTGCCCCTACCCTAGCTCCGGCCCTGAAGCTGGCCAGCTAGGCGCGGCTGCAGGAGTTCGTGGCAGTAGCCAGCTTGCGACAGTAGCAGAAGGCGTTGAAGAAGCGGCAGTAGCACGTGGCACACGGGTCACAGCAAGGCACCTGCTGTCCCAGGCAGGACTCCTGCAGCTTTACGCAGCGGCGTGGGGAGCGGGGCTCGCGATCCTGCAGGTCTTCTACCTGCAGAGGTGGGGAACCAGGAATGTGGGCACAGGCCTCAGAAGACAGGTCCAGGGACCTTACCTGTCCCAGCCTATGCAGGATGGCAGTGGAATGTAGGTAGAGGTGATCTGTAGTGTCACCGCTGGTGAGGGAACTTGGAGCTGGGGAGAGGAGCTAATAACCAATGCACCCTCCCAAGTACCACCACCTCACCCTTTTCCCTGAGCAGTTACCTCTGCCAAGGCCTCAGCCACCTGCAGCAGATCCTCTTCTGCCTGTTCTGCAGTTGTCTTCTTCAGTGGGGCCTGCAGTCCCAGGCCTGGGGCAGAGGATGTGAGGGCAGGAACCCCCATGCACAAAGCACCCACCTCCCAGGGGAGGGTTTGGGAAGGGAGAAAGAGGGCTTAGGCCAGGGGAGACAGTTTGTGTCCAGAGGGTATTCAGGCCCCGCCCAGTCCCACCCCTGCCCACACTGACCTGGGAGCTCTGGGAACAGGGCCTGGTCGGGCCTTCTGATGCCCTCCAGGGGGGCCAAGCCTATCTGGGCTCCCTGCATGGCAGGCAGTGCCAGCAGCAGGGCACAGCTCAGCATCGCTGCAGTCAGCATGGCCTGGCTCATCAGGAAGACATACCACTTAGTCCCTCCTCATCCTTGGAATCCCCTGTAGGTGCCCAGATAGAGGCTCCGCAGAGAGGAGGAGTCCCTGCCCAACCTGAGAACTCACCTCTGCCTCCTGGATTCTTCCCTAGAGAGTTCCCGGCCACCCCGTGCCCTCGGCTTATATGGCAGGGCCTAATGAAGGGCCACACGTGACTGATCCCTGCAGCCAGCCTGCAAGGGGCCCTTCCTGGAGGGTGGGGGCACAGTTCAGGCCCTTACTCCCCGGACCTGAGCCTTTTGTTCTACAAGAGAGGTGCCCATCTCCAATTTGGGGTGAGGTTCCCAGGAGCCAATTAAAATTTCAGAGCAAGAGAGGGTGCCCAGGGCTCCCAAATTTCCACAGGACAGGGACCTAGGAGCTGAGCCAGGGTGGAGCCGTTAGTAATAACAAGGCAGGCGGCCCTGAAAGCTTAATTTAATTTGTGGCCCCAGAGATGCTTACTCAGCCCCTACATGGCATGTTGTTTCCTGTGCTTCCAAGAATTCAGGTCAAGGGCATGGGAGAGGGTGAAGGGCCAGTGGCCACTGTTGGGCAGGTAGAGTGCAGAACCAGAACCTGGGTTTCTTTGGAGGGAATGGGGAGGGGAAAAGCCCACCTAACCAATCCCAGGCCCTCCCAAATGCATTTCTGGTCCTCCCCTCCCTTTTTCCCTCCAGGCTTCTCCAAGAACCCCTACTCCCCCTCCTGTCCCCGAACCCCTTTCTGCCTGGGGTTCCTGGAAGCCAAGGAAACAGAACGAACTGTTCCCTGGGTGGCGAGCCATTGCAGAGTAAAAAGCTTTCAGACCGCCTGCCTCATTAGCGCTAATGGCTGCTCCCTTCCGCCCTGTGTCGTCAGGACTGCCTACACCTGGTCTCATCAGCACAAAGCTGGGGTGAGGACTGCCCTTTTGTGGAGATGGCAGGACATACAGGACCTCACTTCCCCTCCCTTCCCTCACCTCACTGCAGGGCTGTTTATCACACACGTGTCCATCTGGGAAAGGGATGTAGGCTGAATCAGCTTTGAGGCCCCAGTGCACAAACTGGGTTGGCACAAGGCAGTGGAAAAAAGATGAAGGGACTAGATATGGTGGCTCACATCTGTAATCCCAGCATTTTGGGAGGCCAGGAGTTTAAGGTCAGCCTGGGTATCATGGCGAGACCCTGCTGCTACAAAAAAATTAAAAAAATAGGTTGGGCACAGTGGCTCACGCCTGTAATCTCAGCACTTTGGGAGGCCGAGGTGGGCAGATCGCGAGATCGAGACCACCCTGGCCAACATGAAGAAACCCCATCTCTACTAAAAATACTAAAATTAGCCGGGCATGGTGGCACGTGCCTGTAGACCCAGCTACTCGGGAGCTGAGGCAGGAGAATTGCTTGAACCTGGGAGGCAGAGGTTGCAGTGAGCTGAGATGGCACCACTGCACTCCAGGCTGGGCAATAAGAGTGAAACTCCATCTCAAAAATCAATCACTCAATCAATCAATCAAATAGCTGAGTGTAGTGGTGAATGCCTGTAATAGAGGCTGAAGTGGGAGGATGGCTTGAGCACAGTGATTCAAGGTTGCAATGAGCTATGATTGCATCACCACACTCCAGTCTGGGCGACAGAGCAAGATCCTGTCTCAAAAAGAAAAGAAGATAAAGGGTGGCTGGGCACAGTGGCTCATGCCTGTAATCCCAGCACTTTGGGAGGTCAAGGTGGGTGGATCGCTGGAGGTCAAGAGTTGAAGACCAGCCTGGCCAATATGGTGAAACTCTAGCTCTACTAAAAATACAAAAATTAGCCACGTGTGGTGGCACATGCCTGTAATCCCAGCTACATGGGGGCTGAGGCATGAGAATCGCATGTAACATGGGAGGCAGAGGCTGCAATGACCAGAGATCACTCCAACATGGGTGACAGAGTGAGACTCCATCTCAAAAAAAAAAAAAAATCTATTTAAAATGAAATGAAGCAATCCATACTGGGACATCCAAGAAATTAAAATTACACCTCATTATGTCTTATTTTTTTGAGATGATGCCTCACTCTGCCACCCAGGCTGGGCCTGGTCAGCACCCATACTAAGGACAGCTCTTCTTCATGGTCTGGTGTGGGCAGGGTGGGAGTCGGGGACCTCTTCCCACCCAGGTGCACAGTGTCTTACCTCACCTACAGGCAGTGGCTATCTTCACCTGGGTGTGTGCACACAGGTGTATCAGCCCCATGGGCAGCGATGAGGGAGGGCTGTGACACTCACAAAGCAGCCCATGCCCTGGTCAGGTCCAATGAGGGAGACATCAAGAAAACCCACCACCAAAACACAATGAATGAGCTGTGATCAGGCCACCGCACTCCACCCTGGGCGACAGAGCAAGACACTGCCTCAGAAAACAAAAACAAAACAAAAAAATGGCCCATTGTAGTGACTCACAGTTTCTTAAGCCCAGGAGTTCAGGACTGGCCTGGGCAACATAATGAGACTGTATTTACAAAAAAATTTTAAGGCTGGGCACGGTGGTTTACGCCTGTAATCCCAGCACTTTGGGAGGGCGAGGAGGGTGGATCACCTCAGGTCGGAGTTCAAGACTAGCCTGACCAACATGGAGAAACCCCATCTCTACTTTAAAAACAACAACAACGGGCCGGGTGCGGTGGCTCAAGCCTGTAATCCCAGCAGTTTGGGAGGCCGAGGCGGGTGGATCACAAGGTCAAGAGATCGAGACCATCCTGGCCAACATGGTGAAACCCCGTCTCTACTAAAAATACAAAAAAAAAAATTAGCTGGGCCTGGTGGCACGCGCCTGTAGTCCCAGCTACTTGGGAGGCTGAGGCAGGAGAATTGCTTGAACCCGGAAGGCGGAGATTGCAGTGAGCCGAGGTCGCGCCACTGCACTCCAGCCTGGTGCCTGGTGATAGAGTGAGACTCTGTCTCAAAAAAAAAAATAAAAACAGCAACAACAAAAATTAGCCAGGTATGGTGGTGCTTGCCTGTAATCCCAGCTACTCAGGAGTCTGAGGCAGGAGAATCACTTGAACCTGGGAAGCAGAGGTATGGTGAGCTGAGATCGCGCAATTGCACTCCAGCCCGGGCAACATGAGAAAAACTCCGTCTCAAAAAAAAATAATTAAAATTAGCTGAATGTGGTGGTGCACACCTGTAGTTCCAGCGACTCAGGAGACAGGGAGGAGGATAGTTTCAGCCCGGGACATTGAGGCTGCCGTGAGCCATGGAAGTGATGGCTCACACCTATAATACCAGCACTTTGGGAAGTTGAGGCGGGCAGACCACCTGAGCCTAGGAGTTTGAGGCCAGCCTGGGCAACTTGGCGAAACCTGGTCTCTATTTTAAATATATATATACATGTGTGTGTGTATGTGTATATATATATATATATATATATTCTTTTTTTTTCTTTTTTTGAGATGGAATCTTGTTCTGTCGCCCAGGCTGGAGTGCAGTGGTACAGTCTTGGCTTACTGCAACCTCTGCCTCCTGGGTTCAAGCAATTCACTTGTTCTCCTGCCTCAGCCTCCCAAGTAGCTGGGATTACAGGCAAGCGCCACCATCCTTGGCTAATTTTTTGTATTTTTGGTAGAGACAGGACTTCACTATTCTGGCTAGGCTGGTCTCAAACTCTTGACCTCATAATCTGCCCGCCTCGGCCTCCCAAAGTGCTGAGATTACAGACTTGAGCCATTGCACCCAGCTAAAAAAAAAAAGAAGAAGTTTTTGTTAATTAAAAAAAGTTTCACTATGTGGGTGATTTTACTGGTAAGGAACCAGCCTGATAGCCCCAGGACAATGCTTGTTGGCAAAAGGACCTTCAGAAATATGTGGCATGTTCTGGGAGGAGGATTTGGGAGACCTGCGGGGAGGCAGAGCCTCCTCAGTGAGGCTGGGGGCCTGAACGTAGGGACTCTGTGCAGAAAAGAGAAAGGGGAGAGTATTCATGCACGTGCCAGAGACCACATGAGAACAGAGAGGGCGCCGGGCATGGTGGCTCACGCCTGTAATCCCAGCACTTTGGGAGGCCGAGGCGGGTGGATCACGAGGTCAAGAGATCGAGACCATCCTGGTCAACATGGTGAAACCCCGTCTCTACTAAAAATACAAAACATTAGCTGGGCATGGTGGCACATGCCTGTAATCCCAGCTACTCAGGAGGTTGAGGCGGGAGAATTGCCTGAACCCAGGAGGCGGGGGTTGCAGTGAGCCGAGATCACACCATTGCACTTCAGCCTGGGTAACAAGAGTGAAACTCCATCTCAAAAAAAAAAAAAAAAAAAAAGAGAACAGAGAGGGGTGCTTGAACCCTCCGCCTTCTCTTCTTTTTCCTCCTTCAGTGTACTCCTCTCCAAGCACCTTTTTCCTGCTTTGTCTAAGGGAGGGGAGTGGGAGGCGCAGGGGAGTAGAACTGCAAGCACCCATGGCTCTGTCGATCGGGATTGATTTAGAAACTCCCCACCCAGCCCATTGCCCCTGCCCCAGAGAGCACAGCCATGAGTTTCCTGTGAATCATCTGTAGGATTTTCTAAGGCAGAGGTTGCCTGGAGAGGCACGGTCTCCTCAGTCGTTCAGGGAGGGGAGAAGGATAGATGGGCGTTCTCTCAGGCTGGCGTATTGAGCCCTGAGCTGAAGGGGATCTGTGATGGTTAGTTTTATGTGTCAACTTGACTGGGCCAGGGATGCACAGATATCTGGTTAAATATTATTTCTAGATGTGCTTGTGAGGTTGTTTCTGGAATCATGCAATCCTTTGAGGGTTAGAATAAAGTAAAAAGATAGGCCGGGTGTGGTGGCTCATGCCTGTAATCCCAGCACTTTGGGAGTCCAAAAGGCAGGCAAATCATGAGGTCAGCAGTTCAAGACCAGCCTGACCAACACAGAGAAACTCCGTCTCTACTAAAAATACAAAAATTAGCCAGGTGTGGTGGTGCATGCCTGTAATCCCAGCTACTTGGGAGGCTGAGACAGGAGAATCACTTGAGCCCGAGAGGAGGAGGTTTTGGTGAGCCAAGATCATGCCATTGCAATCTCAGCACTTTGGGAAGCTGAGGTGGGAGACACCCTTGAGCCCAGGAGTTTGAGACCAGCCTGGGTAACATAGGGAGACCCCCATCTCTACAAAAAATTTAAAAATAGCCAGGTGTGGTGGTACATACCTGTGGTCCCAGCTACTCTAGAGGCTGAGGTGGGGAGGATTGCTTGAGCCCAGGAGGTTCCAGTGTGCACACAAGACCTCATCTCAAAAACAAAACAAAACCAAAAAACCTGTTAACAATCCATATATGCATGAACAGGAAAATGGATAATAGCAGTATACTGATATAATTGGGCCAGGCACAGTGGCTCACACCTGTAATCCGACACTTTGGAAGGCAGAGTTGGGCAGATCACTTGAGCTCAGAGTTCAAGACCAACCTGAGCAACATGACAAAATCCCATTTCTACAAAAAATACAAAACTTAGCCAGGTGTGATGGCACAAGCCTGTAGTCCCAGCTTCTCAAGAGGCTGAGGTGGGAGGATCACTTGAACCCAGGAGGCGGAAGTTGCAGTGAGCCAAGATTGCACTACTGCACTCCAGCTTGGGTGACAGAATGAGACACTATCTCAAAAAAAAAAAAAAAAAGGCT